ATGATTAAATATTTCAGAATTACGGTTTAAATTTCATCAAAATCGGACGACAAACGCGCAAGAAAAATCAGTTATGTCCCACTGTGCCAAGAGTAATCACTCTCTGAACTTCGAAGAGGGAAGTATCTTATCACAAGAACAACACTATGCCAACCGACTAACCATAGAAATGCTACATATCATAAAAACACCTGCAGACATACGGATGAACTACAAAACGGACACTGACAATTGCGCTCATTTATATAGACATTTACTACGGAAAGAAAAATTAGTTAACAACTCCTCGTCACCGGGCGCAGACGTGTAAATTGAATGTATGTCCAATATAAATTGTTTTCTGTTTGTTAAGAATATTAAAATCGTTGTTATTATTTTATAGTTGTCCTGAAGACGGTTGCAGAAAAGCAACCAAAATGTATATCGATAAATAACCAAAAATAAAATTTTTTTATTTTTTCAACATCCTGACCTCGAGCCGGCTAACAATTAAAATGTTTTCAAGAAAATTTAATTTTTGAAAAAGCTGCAAGGGTAAATGAACTTTGCCTTGCCGAAGTTTGCTTCCTTTCTTGTTTATTATCCGATCTGTCAGAAATTGTGCACAGGGAAGTTTGCGGCCCAATGCGAAAGGAATCAATGGCCGGATGTAAATATTATAATATATTATATTATGTAACACTTACAAACAATTTCCCCAGCTATTGTGAAACCTATTTCTAAAGAAAGAAGAAAGAAAGCAAACTTCGGCAAGCCGAAGTTCATATACCCTTGCAGCTATTGCATGAATTAAATACTTTTGAAAACATTTAAATTATGATTTACTTGAGTATATGCTGAAAAACATTGAAACTATGATGATTTGCAGCTCAATTATTAGAGAGTTATTTTATATATTTTTTTTATTTCTATGAGAGCTATTTGCTATAGACGTCCGATTTTGATAAAATTTAAACCATAATTCTGAAATAATTAAACATTGCTATATGTCGAAGAACTAAACAAAAAATTAAAAAACAGAAAAGTTTGTTACTATGGGAGCTATATGCTATAGTCGTTCGATTTTGATGAAATTTAAACCGTAAATCGGAAATATTTAACCATTACTATATGTCGAAGAACTAAACAAAAAATTAAACAATAGCAAAGTTATAATTTTTTTCATTTATTTTTCCAATTGTTCCTATGGGAGCTATATGCTATAGTCGTCCGATCCGGCTCGTTCCGACTTATATACTACCTGCAATAGAAAGACAACTTTTGAGAAAGTATATACGGACGGACAGACGGACAGACGGACGGACAGACGGACATGGCTAGATCGACTCTACTAGTGATGCTGATCAAGAATATAAATATTCTTTATAGGGTCGGAAACGTCTCCTTCACTGCGTTGCAATCTTCTGACTGAAATTATAATACCCTCTGCAAGGGTATAAAATTCACAAGCCGGCTGCTGAGAGCTTTACTGAAATAAAAATCAAAGCTTTACAATCAGACAACGGAACTGAGTATAGTGTTCGGTTAGGGCTAAGCACACCACACATACCCCAGCAGAACGGGCTGGCTGAAAGGCAAAACTGGACACTAGTTGGGATGACTAGGTGCATGTTGAGGCAAGCGGGTTTGACGGGGGACATACCGTATACATGGTCCAGAAAATCCCAACGGTAGCATATTTAAGGACATTCGGCACAAAAGCATGCCCTCCCGGAAAGGGCGTTCACAAGAGAAAGTTCGATTCAAGCTCCATTGAATGCATTTTAGTGGCCTATCGCATGCAAGGCGCAAGGTAATAATCTCTAATGAAGTCAAGTTTCTAAGTCTTCCTGGTTTTAATAAGGTAATCCAGTTTTTTTAAGAGCTCTACCTCAGAAGGTACCAGCATCGAGATGACGACCACAAATCCCATGCAAGACGATAAGATAAACCTCTCCAACCACGTCGTAAGAGAGGACTCCCGAAAATTTTACGAAACGTATTACGAGGAAGGCCACGCAAGATCTTTAATGACCAAAATCTGGACCAGTTGGAAAAAGGGAAGCCACGATGACGTGGAAAATATCGAAAATGGCGAATTGGTCAAAGCTTTAGTTGACGATGAAAGAAGCAAAAAAATCGAATGAGTCGCAAAAGTGGACGAAAGCGATCAAATACGAATTTTTGGCACATCTGAACACCGGTCATGGGAAATTGTGGATCTCCCAGTCAACAGAAAGGCGATCGGCAACAAGATGATATTCCGCACTTAAGAATTAGGAAGCGGAGACTTCAAGACGAAAGTCAGATTAGTTGCCAAGGGATCTGCTCAGAGACCCGGCGAGGATTCCCACGAAACATCATCATTATCACCAGTTGTCAGGTTCACGATCCAAATTCTCGTGGCATTAGTGTGGAAGCGAATATAGAAGTTCATCAAATGGACGTCGTACCGGCTATTTAAACGGAGAGCTTGAGGAAGAGATTTTCATCGATACTCCGCAAGGACTTAACTATTTCATTAACAAGATGGAACAATTACGCTCATTTGATCCAAAAAAAGCACTATAGATTGAAAATACATCAACACAGTCAAGAACTGAATGGAAAATTACATTACATTTACATTACAAATCAAATTTCAAAATCCTGTCTGCCTCTTATGGAAGGCACTTTATGGACTACTACAGTCCGGTTTTCGATGGTATCAAAAGTTAACCACAAAACTGTTGGATAGTCCTTTAACCTCAACTGAGGAAGTTCCATGTTTATTCGTAAAGAGTAAAAACGCTTCTGGTTACTATACACGACGACGTCTTGCTCCTTGCCTCCAAAAACCCCGTTCGCTAGCCGAGACCAAATTGAGCCTGGCCCAAAAATTCGAAATGAAAAACATATGCAAAGTCAGCACCTGCCTAGATATATTCATCTCGCATTAGCAATGTATTGCTTACCAAGCCGGTAAGCAGATTCGACATTGCCAAATGCAAGACTGCATTAACCCCCATCGAAACCAAAAGCATTCCTAAGCGCCCAGACTTAGCTGACGAATTGCAAATGAGAAAGTTTCTTAATCAGTTTCTACGCGTCCAGATGGGCTTCAAACCGAGAAAAATCTGTACGGCGTGACTAACGCTGACTGGGGTGCAAGCCTTAGCGACCGGCGATCCTATTCTGGACAGGCGTTCATACTATCAGGTGCAGCCGTATGTTTGGAAGCACGAAAACAGTAAACTGTGGCACTTTCAAGAACGGAATTGGAAAACCTTGCGATGTTCGAAGCAGTCAACGAATCAATTTACCTGAAGGGCCTCTAAACCAGCATTGCTCGAAAATGTGGCACAGTCCGTATCTAACGCTCAAATACTAGTATCAGGATTTGGCTACCACCCGCGAAACACATTGATGTGCGCCATCACCATATTCAAGAAAAGCTGCGAAATGGCGAAATCCTAATCAAATAGGTACATGCCAACCGAACTTTAGCCGGCCGACATTTTGACTAAAGGTCTTAGCCATAACAAACACAAAGTCTGCATCAGTTCGTTTGAAATTAATCCAATCTAAAATTGTTACTTTCAAAGGGCGTGTTTAAACTATATTATGTACAAAGCAACAGATGTAAATGATATGATCTGTCCACTTTGTTCTTTACATCATAGAGAGACAGAAACCATATGTTAAGTAATACAACAACAAGTTTATCTTATCACTTTTATAGCCGAAAGAGGAAAAGAGCAACGCACTTCTTTCTTGTTTCAGTTAGTCACTCTTAGGCACGCAAGATGTAAATCGGTTACCGTATTAACCGTATAACCGTATTAATAAATCGCACATATTATTTAACTTACAAGCATACGTGTTTTTGTCATATTAGTTTTGTTTATATTAGGATTAAAAGCGATAACGTAAACAGTAGTCTGTATTATTCATCACTCAATGGTTATGCTTTTACATTACGTTTTTACTGTAAATATACCCGTTACTTATAGAGTAAAAGGGTATATTGTATTCGTTGAAAAGTATGTAACAGGTAGAAGGTAGCGTTACCGACCTTAGAGTTAATAATAAAATTAAGTCTTGAAATACAGTTAAAAGATACCGTAATATGTGAACGAATTTATAAACCAACAAGAAAGAAAGCAAACTTCGGCAAGACGAAGTTCATATACGCTTGCAGCTATTTCAAAACCTAAATACTCTTGAAAACATTAAAATTATGCTTTACTAGCGTGTATGTTTAAAAACATTGAAGCTTTGTAATTTGGAGCTTAATTATTCGATAGTTCCTATGGCAGCTATACGATTGCTCCTATGGGAGCTATATGCTATAGTCGTACGATTTTGATGAAATTTAAACCGTAAATCTGAAATATTTAATTATTACTATATGTCGAAGAACTAAAAAAAAAATTAAAAACACCAAAGTTAAAAATTTTTTTTTTATTTTTATGATTGTTCCTATGGGCGCTATATGCTATAGTAGTCCGATTTTGATGAAATTTAAACCGTAATTCTGAAATTTTTAACCATTACTATATGTCGAAGAACTAAAAAAAAATTAAAGAACAACAAAGTTATAATTTTTTGCTATTTATTTTACCGATTGTTCCTATGGGAGCTATATGCTATAGTCGTCCGATCCGGCTCGATCCGACTTATATACTACCTGCAATAGAAGGATGCAGATAGCTTTAAAACTGAGAGACTAGTTTGCGTAGAAACGGACGGACAGACGGACGGACAGACGGACATGGCTAGATCGACTCTCCTAGTGATGCTGATCAAGAATATATATACTTTATAGGGTCGGAGATGTCTCCTTCACTGCGTTGCAAACTTCTGACTGAAATTATAATACCCTCTGCAGGGGTATAATAAATTTAAAAGTTTTCTTAGAAAATTTTTAGCAAAATTTGATTTTTTTTATAACACCCCATATTAATATTGCTTGTTTTCTAAGAAATGCACTTAAAAGCGAGCTACGACTTAACGCTAGCGCATTAATAATCGTTACTTACATCACATGTTAAAACCACTTTGCTGCCTTGTACTGTATGATGTTCCACTCCATTAATTTCAATACCTGTCGGACGTACTGTTGAATGAAAAATAATAATTTGCTTTACAAACACAATTACTTACTCCTTAAAAAACATTTTAGTTCCTACCAAACTAAGAATGCGATTTTATTTGTCTAATCTAAGTTGTTTTATAAAAATACCTTGTAAGTCCACGCTAAATTTTGTAACAGTTGTGTTTGGTAAGGCTGCAGATGTCACTCGACATTCAATATCCTGAGCAAGGTCGTCTCGGGATAATGACCAATCCAATTCGAGTGTTGACGTATAAAGACCATCGTTTAAATCGTGAGTAGGGGAATCTGTAGAGAGTGTAAACAATATTTTTATATGTTATCAAGATTTTTGACAAAACGGGTTTACTTTACTTATATTTATATATTTATATTTAAACCAGGTGTAACAACAAGTTTAATTACTGCATTGCTCCTTTTACGCATATCAAGTTTAAAAACGGTATAATCAGGTCAAAATTGTTAAAAAACTTACTTTTTGTTTGTATACCTTTATTAATGTTTTTTTTTAATGCTTTGAGCATATCCTTCGAGTTTGATCAAAATCTGATGACTATATCCTATAATTGCCATATATCTGTCATACTGACCGTGCCGATTATAATTTGTAATTGTTGATTCAGCAACATTCTGCTCAGTTATGAAAGATAACAACAATTTGTGTCAAATATAATTATGTATAATATGTAAGTGAATTATAATTTTGATGTTGATAGGAACGCAATGACTTTACATAAGTTCGACTCATTGGAGCACTCAAAGAATAATAAGAGGCAAAGTTTATTGTAAATTTCGCATAAGACTTGGAACGGGAGTAGTGCTAATGGACGGAATCGGCGATAACATTTTCGGTTCCTTGAATTGTTTTTTAATTTTTAAATGCATATGACTGACTATATGCGGTTTTATACGTTAAAAACTTGTTTTATATATTTATATTTAATTTGTAAACTGTTCAAGCTTAAAAATTTTGCAGATGTCATAAAAATGTTATATTAAAAATTACTAATCGTTTTTAAGTTTTAATAACAAAATAACATGGTAGTTATAATACTCACAAGTTGTTAGTCGCTTGGTTCCGCGGAACCACCCCACCTCTGGTTGAGGGCGGGTGTTCTTCACGGTACATGTTGCTTTGAGTGATTGACGTTCCTGCATGGGTCCCACTATGCTGCCGTTCTTGATTCGATCGCCTTTAGCATCCAAAATAACAACCTCAGTGGGTGGCACTGAATACGTGTATGTATGTTTGAAATCCGACATTTAAAAATGGTTGTCGTGTTGTGTTGTTTGTGTGTAAGAGCCGTTTCATTTTCATAGGGTAAAAGTTTTAATAAAAAATATAATATATGTTATGGTGTTATAAGAATTATAAAATAATAGTTAAATTGTCCAAAAATAAATCATGAAGATAGCTCCTATCAATCAGAATTTATTCAAATTCAATTTGGCCCGTTTGGCTTACTTTTAACTAATTCAAACAATTTATTTGTTAATTTATTTGTCCATATATAACGTCATCAAATAGGGATGGGGGAGGGAGGCTGGAGGAGACAGCGAATTGATTACACAGGTACAATGCCAAAAATTTAATGGACTCATACAAACTTGTGTTCTAACAGCTTAGGGTTCCGCGGTATAGCCAAGAACTCAAAAATCAAGCATCAGATTTGTATTACTTATTTATTTACTTACTTATTTTTTTTTATGACAAAACCTCTTTATACATTGTAAAAGAGTCCCGGCTTTAACCATTATCACCCTTATCCAGTTTTCACTTCCGAAAGATTCACACGGATTCCGATTACTCAGACCGTTTCCACTTTTCACTTCCGAAAAATCATCAAGGAACCGAATTTCCCTCTATTAATTCTTTGTTTACTTCCGGAATAAGATCCCCGAAACTTTCCGCCAGACAAAAAAAATATCTTTAGTAAAATGCATTTTAATTTCACTTGCCAAAAAAAAAATTAGTTAAATCCAATTATCTCAATCATCAGAATTTCATGTTCTCAGCTATACCACGGAACCCTTAGCTGATGGATCATAAGTTTGTATGGGAATTTTAGTTTGGAGCAACCGATTATTATGGAAAAGTATACTTTTAACTTTTAAATGGTTCGTGGAAATTTCAATTATGAGGGGGGTCAAAAATTGGGAAAATCGTGGTGACTTAATATATGGAAAGTTCCTAAGTAAAGTAAAATAAACAAGCAACAATAAAACGAAGATTACAAAGAAAAAAAAAACTTTGTAAAATAAAGTATTATATTAATTAAACTTTTTCTTTTTGTTTTTATTATTATTGCAAGCTTAAAACTAAACACACCCAATGCAACTAAATTTATAAATGACATCTTTTTACCAATATTTTCTACGTTTATATTATGTAGATATTTTAATTATAGCAGAAAGACAAATACAGATTTTTAATTGGTTTTTAATTCGAGTCCATACGAAGTTTAGGATTTATAAATTTGCAAATGGACATAAGACACAATATAAATGACGAAAATAATTTGGTGCCCAGAAAAGAGGTTTTCGTTATTTTGGTAGGTTTTTATTAGTTTGGAGCAATTTTTTAAAAATTCAGTTATCAATATGTTGTTATCGGTTAAACGTATTATTATGAGGGGTTTCCATGTCGATGTTGACGGTCGGTTTTAATAGTTTATGAGTTTTTTTAGTAAAATTAATTTAGATAATTGTTTTTATGAGTTTTGACGCGTGTAAAAATGAAAGAAAGAGAAAGAGAATGGTTAAAGGTAAGGGTATGGTCTCAGCGATACAGTGAATAAAACAATTGTTATGATTTCAAACAGGCTGCTAATACCAAAGAAGGGAACATTAATCCTTGGACGAGTACTTAAGAAATTACAAAACCAAGCCTACACTCATAACAAAATGTACCCTAAATAAACTGTGTTTTCTAAGTATAATACAAGAACAGATTTTTAGTTTATAAAAGGGCTTTAAAGGCGAAAAAACCCATATTTTTATGAATTTTTTGCGGCGACATCTATATATTATTTTTTTTAAATTTATTTACATATTATTATACAATTTTTAAATAATGTAAGTAAACCTTTTCAAAGAAATTTTATGAAAAATAAGCGGCTCACTGTGAATCTCCGGAGGCACCTTAAAAAAGTTTTGTTTATGCTGAACATCATAACTCGTGACCGGGTTATCAGAAAAAAAATGTATATACATTTTAAAGCTGATGAATTTTCGAGGAGCTCGACAGCTCCTCTTTTCTATTTTTTTGAGCATGTTGAAGTAAACAAAGCGGTTTGTAACTCCGTTAGTCTTACTCGGAATGACTTGAAATTTGTAGAGAATATTCTCGACATATTGTTGATTCAGAAAAAAATAAAAAAAAGTTTATTGGAGGGGTGTGGCAGCCTGTCACAGCGAGCGTTGCAGAAAGCGTACAGCACTGAAGAAATAATAAATATTGTTTGTTTATTTGAATAATCGCGTGCAGGTATCTATTGGGCTGTTTACAGGTTATGAATCTCAGTGCAGCTCGGGTAGAGCAAGTGCTCGCATTTACGTAAATCGCATGGTCTGAGAAAAAATAGCTTCAATGCAATAGTTTAATAAAGTATGGTTATTAGTATAGTCAATTTTAGAGAGCAAAATAATAATTTAAAAAAAATGAAATAAATGTAACTGAATAATTGATTAGCTGATTAATGTTATTGTAGAAGCGGACCGACATATAGACGGAAAATCCGCCAGTAAATCGATTTTATACGGTTTTTTATACCTGCGATTAAACTTCCGAAAAGCGCCCACGCCCGATCAGTTTCAAATTTTCAGGATCCATGTATTTTAAAATGAGCGAAAAAATTATTGGACCGGGGTACCATCACTAAACTATTATCGATAGTTTCAAAACTATCGCTTAATTGCACATTTCTAAGGTTTTCTCAGTTAATTTTCTCAGATATAGAATCATTTTAAAATGACTGTTAACAAGCAACATACTTTGGTCGATATCTCGTTTAATATTAGCTTTACTGAAAAATATCACTAAACATGTGTATTTCCATTAAACATTGAACTTCTGTTTGTGATGTGTCATATTTTGCAAGAAATTGGAAAAAAACAGAAATAACGAATTTTACCTTTATTTTCCAAGAAATCAGTCGCAAACTTTGACCTATTATTCTTAATCAAGACCCTCAGATACATGGATCCTAAAAATTTGAAAATGATCCGGCGTTGGGGCTTTTCGGAAGAACAGCCCTTTACATATACTTTACATTAGTAATTTTAGTAATCAGTAATTTTCTGAATTATAGCCGGATTATAAAACAGGGAATACCATAAGACAAAATGCTGCATTTAAAATAAATTCGAAAATTAAATGCGACTTTAAACCATTCTCCCCGAATTTTTTTAGAAGAAATTTAAAAAATTACCGATTCTAACAATTTTTGTTGGTGCCACCACTGCAGCAGCTAGTATCTACAGTGGTGCTCATAGAATTAAGCCACATCCACTACCATAAAATGTTTACTTAATTACTTTTTTGAACATACTTTTTCGGTCTGAAATTTTTACATTTTGCAAAACTGTTTTACTGATCACAGTAAAAAATGACAAGAAGGAAAGTACGGGAGTACCCAAAAAATTGAATAAATGTCAAAAAAGAGTATTGCGCTCTGCTCATATACTTATGCCACCTTGATCTTAAATAGTCAAACTCGTGATTTTTCCGTTGAAGTTGTGCTAGTAACTATCTAAAATATAATATTGAAGTGGTGGCAGAATGTGTCAGCTCAGACCACAAGAAGACGGCTAAATGAATTCGGGTTACATGGACTCATTGCCCAAAAAAACCATTGCTCTCTATTAAAAATGTTAAAAAGCGCCTTCAATTCGCCAGAGAGCATATTCAAAAAAGTCCCAAATTTTGGAACATGATTGTTTGGAGCGACGAATCCAAGTTTAATGTCTTTGGGAGTGATGGTAAACCAAATGTACGACGTCCGTTAAACATGACCATGAAGACCGTTAAACATGGTGGCGCTTCGATTATGAACTGGGGCTGTTTCCCCAATATGAACGGCAAAATGTACAGGGACATCCTTATAAACATTTAATCTGGAGAATATGCCGCTAATTTGCCACTTGCCTGGATATTTCAACAGGACAACGACCCGAAAAAAAACAGCAAAATAGGCAAGTCGTGGCTTAACCAAGAGGCAATCAATGTTCTGCAATGGCCACCGCAGAGCCCAGACTTGATCCCTATAAAGAACTTGTGGGGAATTCTTAAACAAGTCGATGGCTAAAAAAAACCAACAGTTAAAAACGATTTGTGGCGAATTTTGCAAAAAGAGTGGAAGACAATCACCCCTCAGCAGTGCGCACGTTTTGAGGATTCAATGCCAAAGCGTTGCTCCGCTGTTCTTAAGCAGAAACGTCATCTCACTCAATATAAAAGTAAATTTATTACAAGTATAAGGAATATTGGGCAAATTTAAACTTTTTCAACCATTTTTTTCCAGGTGGCTTAAGTATGTAAGCAGGATTATTCTCAGATTTTTTTAGTTTTTTATTGAATATATAGTTCTACAACTTGGTTATTCTTCTATTAGAACACATATAGAACTAATGTGACACAAAAAATTTGAGCTGTAAAATAAATAAACACTTTTCATAATTTTCGTATAAATTCTTCGTTGATGTCTTGTGGCTTAAGTGTATGAGCACCACTGTATATGTACGAATGGCGCAGTTTTTGATTTCTTTCGAATATAAAATCTATTTTGCATAAAAATTACTGAAAACATGCAGCTTGTCCTGGTCGCAGCACCACAAAGCAGGAAGAAGCTCCCACATATAAGGAATCCTTTCTGTTTTTTAGAAACGGTAATTGTAAACCCATCAAGCAACACAATCAGCTCCAAATAAACGAAATATCAATAAAAAAAATCCGAATTCTTAATTTATTCTATTTAACGCTGACTTACAAAGCAAATTTTAAATTTGAAAAATTGTGTCTCACTACGTTTTATGTAACTTCATATTCTAACTTGCCCTTATCGTATTTTTTGGAAATGTACAGTGACCTGAAAGTTGAAAATTTTAGCAAGTTGCCAGAAATGTACTGGAATATATTCCAAATCTTCATCAAAAATACCATAATAAAAATGTATTTTTATAGAGCGATGGTGAGCGTAAGCCTTCGATGTTTGCCAAATTGTCCAACCATCAATAGTATCGATAGTGCAATCGATTATTTTAACAATCCTATTACTAACGTACACAAAACTAAACCTACGTGTAAAAAATTAATTCTGATTTTACTTTTTTTCTACTAATGTATTAAGCCGATGATTGTCATAATTAATAATAATTATTGAAATTATAGTAATTATTAGTATGCTTATTTACCTAGGACTCTCAACTCGATTCGATATCCATTGAAGTTATCACACGTTTCTTCTGGTATAAAAAATGTAGTATCACATAGATAAATATCTTCATCATATATTTTCAAGTCCTTAATAACAAGCCTGTACGGATTTTGCTCAACAGTCACTCTATGAAAGAAAAAATTTTAATTTGCAATTAATTGGATTTAATCTATTCTTACCTTTCTTCAAATTCTTTGTTAACACTTGTCACATTATTGTCTCCTAATAGCATTGCAGCAATGCGATCATCGCCCTTAAACCAGTTTAGTGAGTGCAGCTTTCCGCACTTGTCCTCATTAACGGGACATGGTAGGACAACTGATTGGCTTTCTTGTTCACTAATAGTGGTATCTGAAAATACAAAATCAATATCTTAACATGAGAACGCATTAATTGTTATACCCTTTCAGAGGGTATTATAATTTCAGTCAGAAGTTTGCCACGCAGTAAAGCAGACATTTCTGTTTTTATACCCTTGCAGAGGGTATTATAATTTCAGTCAGAAGTTTGCAACGCAGTGAAGGAGACATCTCCGACCCTATAAAGTATATATATTCTTGATCAGCATCACTAGGCGAGTCGATCTAGCCATGTCCGTCTGTCCGTCTGTCAGTCCATCCGTCTGTCCGTCCGTCTGTCCGTCCGTTTCTACGCAAACTAGTCTCTCAGTTTTAAAGCTATCTGCATGAAACTTTCCCAAAAGTTGTCTTTCTATTGCAGGTAGTATATAAGGAACGAGCCGGATCGGACGACTATAGCATATAGCTCCTATAGGAACAATCGAAAAAATAAATTTAAAAAAATTATAACTTTGCTGTTTTTTAATTTTTTTTTTAGTTTTTCGACATATAGTAATGGTTAAAAATTTCAGAGTTACGGTTTAAATTTCATCAAAATCGGACGACTATATCATATTGCTCCCATAGGAACAATCGGAAAAAAAATACAAAAAAATTATAACTTTGCTGTTTTTCAATTTTTCTATTAGTTCTTCGACATATGGTAAGGTTTAAATATTTTAGAATTACGGTTTAAATTTCATCAAAATCGGACGAGTATATCATATAGCTCCCATAGAAATATTAAAAATATATAAAATAACTATATAATAATTGAGCTGCAAATCATCATAGCTTCAATGTTTTTAGACATATACGCAAGTAAATCATAATTTTAATGTTTTAAAAAATATTAAATTTTTGCAATAGCTGCAAGGGTATATGAACTTCGGCTTGCCAAAGTTTGCTTACTTTCTTGTTTTTATATGCTTTTAAATATAGTAAATGTTAAATATTTCAGACATAAGGTTTAAATTTGTTAGGCTGTACTTTCAAAAAGCCCCAACGCCCGAACGTTTTCAAATTTTTGGGATATTTAAAGGTCCTGATTACGATAAATAAGTCAAAGTTTGCGACAAGGCCGATTTTTTTTTAAATAACGGTATAATCCGTTATTTCTGGTTTACGGCAATTTCTTGCAAACTGTGACCTTCATAAAAATCGTATAATAACAAAATTTCAAGGTCTAATTAACATACACATTTTTTGTTTAGGGACTTTTTTCGGCAAAAATTATATTTAACGAGATGTTGACCAAAATTTTTTGCTATCATCAACTAGAAAGGGATGAGCAAACTATCCTAGCGTTCATAGATACATTATCGCGCTCGTGTTATCGATGTGCAACATAAATATGCAGGCAAAATTAAAAATTTGACTGCGGCGGCTTAATTTCCATCGTACAAATCTTCCCCAATAACTTTCTCCCTTTCTGCAAAAAAAAACATAACAAACAGAAAATAATACCAAAAACTAAACATATTTTAAGAAAAATCTACCGAAAACTTGTTCTACTGAATATAAATAATATACAACAAAATAAAACAATAATAAAACCATATGCAATTAAAACCAAAATTAAAATTTCAAAAACCATAACGTTAATTTAAATAAAAAATGATGTTATTTAAGTGCAAAGCTTACACTGTAAATAGATTTTATATTACAGAAAAATAAAGTTTTATCAAGCGGCAAGCGTTAGATACGCGAAAAACATAGAGATGAAAACTAAAAATGAAATGTATATTTCAACTAGATCTCCAAATTTGGTTCAAAGATTGATAAATTTAATTTTATAGGATTTTTTGACAAAAAACAAAAGAACCTGTCGCAGACGTTAACCTGTTATTTCGTAAACAGGACAATAAGCTACATGGATCCTGAAAAATTTAGACTGATCGGACGTTGGGGCTTTTCGAAAGCTTATCCTTTAAAATCACGCGACTGTAGCTCATATCAAAACAAAAATTTCGGTGGCAATTTTTTTTTGTCTATGGACAGCGGTACTATGGCTACCAAAGACAAAATACTAAAAATAATGCTCAAGACATAATTTATTGAGCTATCGACTGTTATCGATATGCAACCGCCAGTCTGTGCTTTGTGTTAATTCAAAAATGGATATAAAAAGTCAACAGTGCAGCAGCAGTCTTTATTGGTTTGAATAGTCAAATATACATATGGGCAGTTGAATATTTTATTTTAGTTTAACCAGTGTGAACGTGAATCGATAACACGTTTCCATTCCAAAAACAATATAATATCCAAACAATAAAGTTTGAATTTAACGTTAAAAAGTAGTAGTAGTATCCATTTGGTTTTCTCTGTCTCTGAGCTTCAATGAATTCATCAATGAATGAGGCGAACAATGTAATGTCATACCCGTATAACGAACGATTAAGTTCGCTTTTGACTTTTTAAATTATTTTCTGGATTTAAACCAAAGCAGAGATTCGCGGTTTTGATAGCTCAATTAATATTGTCTTGAGCAGTATTTTAAGTATTTTGTCTTTGGTAGCCTGCGTACCGCGGTTACTGGTATGATAGTATATTGGTCGTTTTCAGCAGCACAACATCATCACAAGCGTTCAGCAGAACAAACTTGATCACTGATTACTGATCCATCAGTGATCATGTTGTTCTGATGAATACGCCCATTGTTCGCATCATTCATTGACGGATTCATTGAAAGTTAAAGTTAAATTCAAAATTTATTGTTTACATTATTATATTGTGTTTATCACGCTAATTTTAAAGTTTAAGAAGTTACGCCACCTTGGAAGCCCGGAATCGATGACTAAATTAGTTCTTTTTTTGCAAAGAAAGTATACACCGTCAGGGGAATCATATGACGTTTTAATTAATTAATTAATTATTAACAATAAGATGCTGTAGTTTTTTATATTTACTTCTTAACCGGTTGTACCCTTTCATTGTCACATCATTTGTTTTAATACCTGGTTTAGGTTAAGAATATGTGAGCCAGAAAGGGTTTTTAACCGAGATAAAGCAAGGTATGTTTGTCCATTTGGAAAAGCACTGTCACCAATATCAACAACTCCAGAGGTGACCATTGGCTTTTAGGAATGGTTATTGTTAATAAAGTTATTGTAAATTGTTTTCGTACAATCAAGATATTTTGATTTAGCTGAAATTTTGATACCATTTTACAAACGATTTTACAGTGCGGGCGTTAATGATATTGGCTTTTTCATGTAGTTTTTATCAATTCCACTTGCTAGACATCTAAATTTTGAAGTAACATTATTTTTGAGCCTTTAATAATTCCACTTGCTAAACATCTAAATTTTGAAGTAACATTATTTATGTGCCTTTCTTTTTCTTCTATAATATACGCTTTAGTGGGTGTTTCTAACCAGTTTCCTTTTTTTTAGATTTTCTTAAGATTTATTATCAATTTTTTATAATCAACTTTAAGAAATATTTTTTCTGAGGGAACAACACCATTCCAACGTTTAACTTTGTACATTGTTTCCTTGTTATAAATAAGAATATTGTTTGTTCCGTAAGACATGTTTCAATTGTATTCCCATCAAATTTAATTTGATAATGATAATCTTTCTCATCTAAAAAGCCTAATCTTTCCTGAGCTAGTGTGTTAAAAAACTCTTGATCTAATTCTTCTCTGCTATTTTGGGTTAGTTCATCATAAGAAAACAAATGAAAGTAAGCTGTTGGTCAAGTGTATTATTCAATTTCCATTCAAAATTATCTGTCCTTTATTTAATTAACAGCTGTCGGTACGTTTAAAAAAATGTTGTTTTAAAATTTTTTAAAAATCAATTTAGGGGTTTTTTTTTAAGATTTTTATTATACCCCTGCAGAGGGTATTATAATTTCAGTCCGTTTCTACGCAAAACTAGTCTGCATGAAACTTTTCCAAAAGTTGTCTTTCTATTGCAGGTAGTACATAAGTCGGAACGAGCCGGATCGGACGCCTAAAGCATATTGATAGATTGACTTTGGTAGTGCTGCTGATCAAGAATATATATACTTTAAAGGGCCGGAGATGTCGCCTTCACTGGGTTGCAAACTTCTGACTGAAATTATAATACCCTCTGCAAGGGTATAAAAAAAACTGCAAAATTAAAGAAAAAGCTAAAAACAAACTAGAAAATAGACAAAAGGCCACAAAAAGTCAATAAATGTTTTCAAAACCCATTTTTTTATACGATATTTTTTATTTGTTACAAAATCTTCATGATCTGCTCCAAGTCTTCTGCATTTTCTTCGCAGGTAATTGTATATGTGTATATAGAAATAAAAATGAGTACTGTCTATCTTTTGACTTATAATAAAACTTTATAAACTTTACCGTATGGATAAAATACTGTTGGTCGAATTCCTATGTTTGGATTTGATCAAATTAAGCTGTCTAAAAACCCCTTCATTTTCTGCGTTTGACCAAAGCAAACATAACATATCGATGGCTACAGTTGCCAAACTCAACAAACCCGCGGTTGTCACCAGAATCCTTAAAGTTTAAGACCCCATACTATAATTGTTTAGTATCGGTGATGTTCTTACATTTGATCAAAGTTATTGGTGTTATATTTCGGAAAAATTCGGTAATTTCCTCTTTATTTGCGCTTGACACCTTTGCGACGGAAAATACGTCAATCTGCTTCAATATTTTAAAATTTGGAAACTTTTCCATTGTTTGTGCATGTGTCTATTGTGAAAATGCTTCTTTTTCATAATTTGATATTTAAATAATTTGAAAACAAGAAAGCAAGCAAACTTCGACAAGCCGAAGTTCATATACCCTTGCAGCTATTTCAAAAATTAAATACTCTTGAAAACGTTAAAATTATGATTTACTTGCGTGTATGTTTAAAAACATTGAAGCTATAATGATTTGCAGCTTAATTATTCGATAGTTCCTATGGCGGCTATACGATTGTTCCTATTGGAGCTATATGCAAAAGTCGTCCGATTTTGATGAAATTTAAACCGTAATTCTGAAATATCTAAACATTACTATATCTCGAA